CAAACTTGCTTTGAAATAAACTCCAAAATACTTTTGAGGATGTGGAGATTTGAACCCAAGCACTCATGGTTACAAAGAATTTGGTCTCACTTGAGTATTGAGTTACTTAAGTAATTTGATAATTTGTTTTCATTTTAATATTTGAATATGTATAATAAATAATGTAGAAGGTAATATTTACAAAATTTAAATTATAATGATAAGTTTTGAATCATATATTAATATATTATGATAATCTAGATATTAAATTATTCAATGTAATCAATAAAGATAATATAAGTTTTAAACTATATATTATATTTATTGAAAATCAAGTTTTTAAAGAACATGTATCATGTTTTTTTTTTCCTTGAAGGGGGAGAGTAAAGAAAGAACAAGTTCCACCGATAGACCCTGGAACTGACCCTAGAACCATTAAGGCAAGAATTGACCCTGAAACCAACCTTCACAAGATAGGTTATGATTCCAAAAACCAGGAACCAACAGGGTTGGTTCTAGGTTCTGTCATGGAACCGAACCAAACCAACTCATGATCACCCCTATTCAACCCATGAAAAAATGTTAGTTTCAGTAAAACCGGATCTAAAAACTGGGGTTGGGGCACACACTAGTTCAATGGTCCAATCCCTTCTGGGTCCAATAACATTGCCTCTTTTTTAGTCCCATCTCAAGGGTTCCACTATGATGCCGAAAAGACATGTTATAGTGGAAAAACTTGTAACCAATTAACCGGTATCATAAAATTGGTAACCAATCAGGTGATATTTATCAAAATTTACAAGAGAGTTTGATTGGTCAAAGCTCTTCTGGTATCATGTGTATCCAACAACATGGTTTTTTCTCCATCCCAATCACTTCTAGGATATTAATATCATTATTGTCTTAGAAGTACCCATCACTTCAATGTCCAGGTAGTGATCATGCAGATCTAAATGTTCTAGAATTTTTTTACCCATACTTTATTCCAGGCCACCATAAAATTTTATTAACCATTATCAAAAGGAAAAGAATACAATAAACTCGAGGACATAAGCTACCTTTCCTTTAACCCAAAAGAATAATTTTTGAATAGATAAAACAATTACTAATTTCTTCTACAACATTTACCCATTTTTTAGGCTATGTTTGGAAGAGGTGTAAAATGTCATTAGTGTAAAAATACACTGATGACGTTTTACACAGAACCTTAAATATATATGACTGTTGTATTTTGAAATCAATGTAAAAAGTTGTTTAAGTTTTACATCAATAAAATCGATGTAAAACCTTAAATGTGATGAGGTTTTACATCTATCATTGACGTAAAACCATGGTTTCCAAAACCGGACCAGACCGGAAAAACCGGGAACCAGTCACCTGACCGGTTTCGTTTTCCCCCAGAACCATTGATTTTGGTCAGCAAACCGCTGAACCGGCCGATTAACCGCTCGAACCATTCGAACGGTTTTGACCGTTTTCCAATTTTTTTATTTTTTTAAATTTTTTCTTTTTTTGTCAGAATGGTTGAACGGTCGGACCGTTCGAACCGGTAACTAGACTCCTGACCGGTTCAGTCACCGATTCATTTTTAAAAACCATGCGTAAAACTAGACTCCATCCAAACACACACAAAACTAAACCAGAGTATAATTTTACATCGAACACACCTCATATCAATCTCACGGCATGTTACAGTTGTGCATTGAGAATATCTACCCACGAGTGACAACATGCAAGTGTGAACCTCCTGATGTGCGACTGCTAAATGTTGTGAGGTTGGTGTGATGCACACTCTGAAGAGCAAATCTGGAATCATTTTTTAAATCACCTTGGTGAGATTCACATTTGAGTCTGAACCTGCTGTCAACAAAATAGTTCCAGCATGATCTAATATCACACATCTCATACATAGCAGGCCCCAATCTCAAGGTGTGATGTGCTATGGCAAACCTTGTTGGAAGGTGATTTGTTGACAGGAGATCCTAACTCCTCATTCCTCATATCTTTTACATCAATCAGTGCAGAGGTCAACTAAAACAGCCTTGATGCCCCAAAAATGTCCCACACAATGAAAGTCTGTCGTGTATCTCTCACACGCATTCCCCCCTCAGTGCGTGCGGATTCACCCAAAACGAAAAAGTTTCTCCATTCCCGCTCATGCTCTCTCAGTTTCTCGACCTCTGTGTAACCTTAACCCCTACACTTCCTCTTCCATCCAAGCTTGGGGAGAAATTTGGCACCGACAACACCAGAGGTACTTCCGCCTTTCTCATCTCATCTCCGGCAGACACACCGGAGGTACCACACAGAAAACGTTTTCTCCTCTTTATGTCCAGATAATTACATGAAAAATAAAAGTCTGAGTCACCCACAAGAATGCAAGATCCTGCAGCTTGAATTATCCAAAAATAAAAAGAGATAAAATAAACAGAAAATCAGAACCTCGTAACCACATATTACCAACAGCTCATCACATAAATTACTGTGTTAACAATGAAAATTTGGCAATTGTATCTCCTAAAATCGAATCCCGAGATGGGTTTCAATCCAAGAATGCAACCCGGTTGATAGGGTCGAAATAGAATGACAAAAGAGCAATCGTTCAAAAGAGTACATGTTTGTTCTCTCTAGTTCCTCTCTCCCTCTGTGTTGGGGTTGTACAACTATTATCTTCTTCTCATCCCAAAGTTTCAATTTTTTGGATCAATTCAGAGGAACCCAAAAGGGGTAGGATCATCGGTTTGTGTTTTGTATGAATTGTTTGAGAGGTTATGATGATCGGCACTTGGGTGGTGAAAGGAATCCACTGCTTATGCCTCAAATTTCAATCCTAGGCATTGGAAAGCGACATCCCTCAGAATAGGACGACATCAAGACAGAGAGTATGAGCGGTCATTGGTGCCAAATTTCTCCCGTGTGTTTGTCGGAATAGTTGTCAATTCTCTCTCTCCCTACCATCTAAACATGCATCAAACCCTCAGAGGGATGGGGAGTACCTCCTGTATCTAATGGAACGGTCGTCGGCGCTGGTTCTCATCGTGTGGGGTGAAGCTCCACATCAGTTGCAGTTCTGCATGGGACAGGTCAAGACTCAAGAGACTGAGAGCATGAGCGGGAGTGAGAAAATATTTTCGTTTATGCTGTGTTTGGTTTGAAGGAAAAAGTAGGGAAAGGAAGGGGAAGGTAAGGAAATTTATACAAATTTTGTAAAGGTTTCCTTACCTTTCCCTTCCTTTCCCTACCTTTTCCTTCAAACCAAACATAGCCTTAGGGTGAAGCTCCACATGCGCTGAGGGCAAATGCGTGTGAGAAGACACGTGGTTAGCTTCCATTATGTGGAACGTTTTTGAGGCGCAGATTCAAACTCGGAAAAAAGCCGTTATCTTGAGAGGGGGGAGATCTATACAAGGCATATTATACTTCTTAATGCTCCGGTCATGTATAACAACAGCTAATGCAACTTAAAAGGGGAGGTCCTATACCATTTTGAATTTAGAGGGGAGGTTTAAGTTATGAAAATGTCCATGTTTTGACTCTCTTTTCTCACTCTTCATCTTTCTTTTATACCTTTGGACTTCGGATGCAAACCAATGGCGACAAAGTAAGTGTTTAAAAATTAGACTTAGCCCCATGAGTGAACCCACCCAAGTAGTTTGGCTATCCTGCATGTGATACAAAACGATAACAAACAGGACCTATTGGTGTTGGCATGGTTAATTTTCTAGAAAACTTCTTGGGTGAGAGCTTGAGGGGGAAGGAGAGATTGAAGAGATGTAAACGAGAGAGTGGGTAATCTGCTATGGAAATGAGATGTAACGTACAGTTTATGTTGTTCTTCCATGACAACCATTATCAATACCCTTTCAGATGCTATGTATTTTTTTTTTTTTTGGTCTTATTTTCTCTTAAGATATATATATAGGGATATCAATGAGTCGGGTCTGATCAGTTGGGTCTAGGTAGAATCAGTCTTGAATTAATTATTAATCGAGACAAAATCATAGATCTAGAATCATCCCAATTAATAATCGGGACAAAATCATGGATTTGATAGACCTAATTATAGACAACTAAGGGGTGATTCTCTTTAGCACAGATGTAGATTCGATTCCCACAACCACCGGACCTTGGAGAGGGGGATATTAGTGTAGTGTAGTGTAGTGTGTATCAGATAGACCTGATTATATTTTCTTATTTAAATAATAATTTAAAATTTGATAATATAGTCTTAATAAAAAATGATATCAAATTATTAAATTATTTATATATTAATAAATTAAACATTTCTAGTTAATATTATCATATTTGTTTTCTATCAAATCAATCATTTCAAACATAAAATATTATACGTAATTAATTTTAGGTCTGAATCAATTCGAGACATGCAAAAACCAAAACCAATCCAATTATTAATCAGCACAAAAATGATGAAACCATAATTGTTTTGGACGATTCGCGTGTATGAGATAGACCCCACCCTACTCATTGACAAATGACAACCTTAAAGAGATAAGACATACAACTGTGTGCCGTGTGACCGTCGGCGTTTTAATAAATGATTTTTAAGGGCATTTTAGCAAACTTATATCTGAAAATGATAGTCTCGACTCTCAAAGGATATATCTGGTATTCCAAAAAAAAGCAACGTATTATGCCAGCGTTTTCCAAAAGAACACCAAGGGAAGAGAAGGGAGATTCTGTTAAATTAAAAAAAAAAATAGATATTTATATGATTGTCAGAAAATCCAGGGGAGGTTTTCATATTTTACCCTTTTTCTGGTTGGTAGTTGTCGTTCAATAAAACAGGAAACCTGGGAACAGGTTCCCTACCAAATTTGATATTCCCTTACTTAAACAGTGTTTCATGGGACCTTGGACCATGAAAAGGAAATTCTGGATTTAAATAAGAAAAGTGGAAACGACGACCCATTGGAAAAACGCGGTAAAGTCTTGAGTCTCCAACGACCTCATACGGTGACTTTTATTATGTGGAAGAGATGAAGTGAAAAGACATGTGAACATGATGTGCGGCCTCAGTCCAGAAGCCAGAGAAGCAGGAGAAGGGCGTCTCTTTCTGGGTTTTGCTTTGTTGATAGACTCTCTTAACTCTCATATACATCATACAACATACATACAAGTACTTTTTAGACGTCTTGACCCTCCCCTTCTGTATTGCGTTTTCAACTCCAGAGAAGAAGTACACACGTCTCAGATTTAAGGGAGATGGACAGAACCATAATCCATACAACCACTCGAATCAGGTCTTCTTCTTCTTCTTCTACTTGCTCTGACCAATCCATCCTTTGTCATTCTCGTATTCGCTCTCTCAAATCCAGTCGATTCCATCACGGTTCCTTGCGTTTCTGTGGTTCCATGTCCCAGTTGCTCTTGGTGTTGGGGGCCTGAATGCTTTGATTGATAATTGATTACTTGGGTAACCAGTTCTGCTCTTTTCGTGTAAATTCCGTTATTCAATTATGTCGATCTAAACTCTTTAATGTCGACGGTTCGGCATTTAATTCGAAAACCGTGTTTCTTTTATGAGGTTGACCAGGTGTTTTTTCTGTGTTTGAGCTTTGAAGATTCTCTTGATGTGCTTATTTGCTTGACCCCAGTAACTCAGTTCTTTGTTCATGGTGGTTTTTGTTTCCGGAATTTTGAGTGTTATGTTTTGGCAGGTTTTGTGTTGAAGAGGATACTCATTGCTGGGGTTGTGGGCTTCTTCTAAATTAGTAGCGATGAAACTGTCTTGCTTTGGTGCGTTTAAGTCATGTAAGAGGAAGAATGTTCACTCTCCAACACAGACAGAAGGTAAGAAGTGCTATTATCTGAAATTTGTTTGGAATTACTAGTTAGTATGTCTTTGGTGGGGCAAAGACCCGAACAAAATGATTAAATGCTAAAGGTTTTACTACTTACATATCCAATTTCTATTAGCAAATTCTACAGCGAGAACTGAATTCACTTCTCTATCTTTTTAGTGGAAAAAAAAACACTTGTTTATCATGGTCTCCTTGATTTTCCTCGAGCTTTCCTGCTCAGATGATTTTGCAACTTTTCGAAAGCAAAGGAAATGTTTTTGAGGGCAGTAGGTTAGTCCTGAAAGAAATTCTAATACCCAGGAGGCCAAGTAACATCAGGGGATTATAAATATTAATTAGCAAGTCGTTTTTACGGAGGAGAGCACTTTAGGAATTCCAGAAGGTTTTCTTTACGATTTTGATATGATCTATGGTACCATCTTTGAAACTGGTGACTTATCCACCAAAGTGCCTCAGCTTAAAACTTTATTACGAACGAGTTCAGGTATCAATACGTTTGTATGTTGTTCTGTGTAGAGATCGTTGCCAGCAATGTACGTCTCTTTTCCTACAAGTCATTGCTCTCTGCAACAGGGAGCTTCCATCCGTCAAATCGTGTAGGTGGAGGTGGCTTTGGAATTGTTTATAAGGTGAGTTCACGACCGTTCTTAGCTCACAGTTTTATTACATTTTTGGATTTAGTTCTTCTGTTAGAGAATGTAAATATCTGGCTTTCCTGGGTACTTTATCAGCATATGTGTTTATGCGCATCCTTTTAAAGTTAATCAATCTGTGGGTTCTGACTGCAGGGAGTTTTAAGAGATGGAACCCAAGTTGCAGTTAAGTCCCTCTCTGCCGAGTCAAAACAAGGAATACGTGAGTTCTTGACTGAAATTGACATGATATCAAATGTCAAACATCCAAATCTTGTCCAACTAATTGGTTGCTGTATTGAGGGCACTAATCGGATGTTAGTCTATGTGTATATGGAGAACAACAGCCTTGCACATATTTTACTTGGTAATTGTCAGCTACTTATTACTCTTTGTTGTGAAAATAACTCCTCTATCAGCTGCATATTACTAGAATAGCTCTTTTAATAAGTATTAGGCTTGATTATAGGGGGCGTTCTTTTTTTGGTTAATGGGATTTTGGTTCTCATTGACCAAGAATCCTTTACTCTTTTTTCAGATTTATGTGGGGATCAGGGAAAGTTCATTTTCTTGGGTATCACTTATCTAAAATGGTCATTGCCTTATTTACATGAGAAATAAAAGAACATGGGTAAATGCACTTACCAGGTAAACTGCATTTACCCGGGTAAGTAACTTACGGAAAACAGAACAAGGCCATACTTGTTGGGTAAGACACTTCAAGTAACCTTTTCAGCCATGACGAGCTAACAAGTTAGTATGTATTAATTGGTGTTGTGAAGAACTAAAAATGAGTCAATAAAATCATGGCACTTAAAGAGCATCATCATCAACATCTTCTAAGCCTTGCTCCAACTACATGGGATTGACTATATGAATCCTGTTTTGCCATTCCATTCTGTTTAGTGCCATATCCATTATTAAACTTATGAGTGCTTAAATCACTTCTTATTGCTTCAAATCATGTCCTTTTCAGTCTACCCCTTCCATGACCGGAAGAGTTTGACATGTGAAGAACAGAATGTTTAAGATAATTACATTTCAATAAATTTACTTACTGATTGTTGCATTTTGCAAAGAATCAATACAAGGTTCAAATGTTCAATATTTATCCAGGCCACCCACTTTGTTTACCCAAGACATGTTATTATATTTGTGAAAATCAATTCTCATCTACAAGTTTGCAGACTATGTTGATGCCTATATCTGCCATTTCAGGTTCAAAGAGTAAACATGTTCTTCTGGATTGGCCTACAAGAGCTGCTATCTGTGTGGGTACAGCTCATGGTCTTGCATTTCTTCATGAGGAAGCTAAACCACATATTGTACACCGTGATATCAAGGCTAGTAATATACTGCTCGACAAAAACTTTCAACCTAAAATTGGAGACTTTGGGTTGGCAAAACTTTTTCCAGACAACATCACTCATCTTAGTACACAAGTTGCTGGAACAGAGTAAGCATATCTCTAGTTTGATTATATAGCTTTTTTATTTGGTGAGCTGCCTGCATTATTTACTAGTCAGTGGAAACTTGTGATAGAGACTTATTTAAACAACATACAACATTTGTGAAGAAAATTTAGTAGACTATGCATGAAACTATGCTGCTGAGGTGTCTATTAGTTGTACTTAAATAACTTGTGAGGACATATAGGTAGTTATTTCATAATGTGAAGGATAGCCTAGTTAAGAATACCGATAAACATGGTGGGGAACCTCATTTTTGAGATTTCTCACTTGGCCAAGGTTAAGGAAGTCACCACGTAACAAGTTAAGAGGTGCTAGGTCCCTTCTTGCAACTAAGGCTATGTTGGTTGCAATTCTTCTCCAAAGAATCTCTATTTGAATAATGAGTTCTAAGATAAAAATGATTCTCTTTGGAAGCTAAAGTTTTTTAGCTTAAAAAATCAGCTCTTATAATGAGTTTTGAGCCCAGAAAAAGAATTATTTCCAACAATTTTCATGAATCTAAACTCTAAAGTGGTTCATAGAATCACAACATTCATCAGAATCAATTCTTTGAAAACGTGCCGTATATGCCTGTTTGGCTCATTGCCAAATTCTGTCATTTCTGGCTAGAAACCGAATTTATTCCAACCAGAAATAGGAGGGAAGGAAACACTCTGGAAGAACTAAACAATATTGCTTGGTTTAATTTAATGAGAAGTAGACATTCCATAATAGAAATAAAGGAATTTTGAGAAATGCATTTAGTTTAAGAATTGATTAAACTGTTTTAAATTTTAATGTTTTGATATTCCATATTATCTAAATCCAAAATTATATTGGTGGGGGTCTCATTTGACATTGTTTTATGAAATTTGGACATATACAAAAAAATTTATAAAAAGAACTAGTGGGTCCCGCATGAAGATGGAGACCTTTTATCCGAGGTTTCTCTTTGTTAGAGTGAATAAATTCTGACAAATATAAATAACATGTCTTGTGTAAACCAAGTGGGTAAGAAATGGGCCAAGTGCAACAGGACTTTTGGGCATGTTGCACTTGGGCAAGAAATGGGCCTAAATTCTTGCCCATTATTAGATGGAAACTGCACAGCTGGGTATCCCAAACATTGTTCTGGCTGATTCCTGCCCAATTTTAGCAAGAATGAGCCAAAATGGGCTCCTAGATGCAAAACCAAACCGACCCTAAACTGCAGCTAAATCAGGCAGCTAGACACCCTTGGCCAGTCCATATTTGGGGGTCCCAGTGACCCTCAAGTGGCTAAAAGTTGAAATAAATGCAGGCAAAATGTAGGTGGAGACAGGGGTGAGCATATGGCCCTTTTGGCCCAGCCACAAAACAGTTTACCATGAGGAAAAGGATATAGTCATGTGACTTGACCTTCATTGCCATATGGATAGAAAGCCTTGCCCCATTGAGTTGACATGGGACCAAGGCAAGGGCTGAGTTTGGTTTGTAAGTTGTAACTGAATCGGCCATGTGACAAGCCTCTCAGCATGTCGCAAGAGAATCTTTCCATGCAGCTAGCCAAGCCAAGTACACGGCAGATTACATTTGCAACTCGTAAGAAACAATATACACATCGAGAACATTAGCCTGATTACCTGAGCTAACATCATAAAAAAAGAAGAGGGTGCAGTACAAACTGTATTTCTCTAACTTGGGTTTGATTATGGTACTGGAAAAACTTGTAACCAATCAACCGGTATCATAAAAGTGGTATTTATCAAAATTCATAGGGGTTTTGATTGGTCAAAGCCCCTTTGGTATCATGTCTTTCTGGCAACATAGATGTGTGACTCTAACAAATCAAACTTTTAATTTAAACTAAATGTTGTAAAAAGACTATTAGCTCAAATTAAAATACATAAACATTACATATAAAACATATTCAAAATGAAAAAATAAAATATAAAATGGCATATAAAACATATTCAAACTCGTCAAACTCCCAGTTCTTTATTTCTTTCCCAATCACATTAATTTCAAATAACCAATATGATGTTAAACACCTTTCATTCCTAATTCTACAAGCCGCCTTTGTACCAAGCTCCTTGAGGCAAGCCCGAACAAGCCAATGTTAGAGTCTTAAATTTTTAATCCCCACAAAAAAACGACTTTATAATTTTTAGTATCTTCTAAAAATATCTTTTTATTAGGATGAATGAATGAACAACATTAGAAAATAAGAGGTTCTTGAAGCTTCGGTAAGCAAGCCAAGTGAGTGAAACCCAACAATTACTGTTATCACCAACAGTCTATCCTTTCTTTTTTTTTTTCATATTTTCCCATGTCATGAAAGCTCTTCTAGAGAACTCTTGGCCACCTAAAAAGGACAAACCCAACAATTTGTGAATTTGAACCTCCTCAGCAACATTTTTTTCCAATACCACTCTTTTCTCTATCAAATCCACTTTGTCAGAATTTGCAGTAGCTGCCTCTTCTTTCTTCCTTGTGTCTTCTACACCTTCCTCATCAACCAAATCGACCCTAACCAATGCAAGGTTTAAAATATCGATGTCGATGGAAATGTCGCTTACCAAAATATAGGACATATGTCAGAAATGTCAAAAATGTCAAGGAGAAATATTGTAAAAATTAGAGACATTGTGGAATTATTATGAAATATGTGGAAATATGCAATGATATTTTGTAAAATGATAAAAGAAGTATTGATACATATTTTTAGACTATTATCTTATTCCCAACCACTATATAAAGTTAAGAAACTAAGATCAATAACAAATTAGTAAATGATGATTTACTGATTTATTATGCATTTTGATGTTTTTACAAGGTTATCTAATATTTTCTTTTCTTATTTTTAATTCTGATTTATTATAAATTCTAATATATTTATTTCACACTAGTAAACAGAAATACATTTATTTCAATTTTTTATATTAAATGTAGAATATGATTTATTATAAAATTTAATAAACATTTTCTAGTTCTAATAAATATTTTAAAAAATACTAACTAGTTAATATTTTATTAATTGAAAAATTTTATGTTTTATATTTTAAAGTAATTAATTTATTCTTTTGTTTTTATATTTTGTTAATTATTTTTTATAAATGTTTTATTTGAAATATTAAATAGAAATTATTAATAGAATAATTTATATTAAAATACAGTATTATAATAATATAATATACTAATATACTATATTATTAATGTACATTAGTCGACATCCTCTTGACATAATAGAAAAAACTGTCGTTTTTTTTGGTTATTTGGACCGATTTGGTCAACATTTCTGAAATATAGGAAATGTCGACCAAAATAATATAATTTTTATATTACCATCCATTTTCATGTCGGTGAGCCTTGACATCAACATATGTCGGGTGACATTAACGACATTTCAACATTTGAAACCATGAACCAATGTGATCAACAACAGTTTATGCTCTGAAACCATGTTTCTTGCAGTAGATCAGTTAGGACTTAGGAAGACAGTAAAATACAGAGTATAGAGAGAAGAAAGAAGAGGCAAGAGTTTGAGAGAGTCAAAAAGCGCGGGGCAATACCACTCAAATTCGAATAGAATTAGGCAATGTCTGAATTCAAATCCAATTAGCTGAATTCGATTCGACATCCGACAGATATATTATTTTTGGTAATTAATAAATATATAGAATAAATATTTTGTTTATATAAAGTATATACATATATAAATTATATAAAATATTTAAATGTTTTATATATTATAGATAAGAATTAAATAATCAATCAAGTTCGAATATTTATCGAATCGAATTAGGTCATATCCGAATTTGACCGATTATGATATTTGAATTATCCGAATTTGATTTAATTATGTTGAATCTGAAATTCAAAATTGGACTTTCGAATACTGTTGACACCCCTAGATATATGAAAGGTCTGATTACAAATAGGGGAAAAGAGACTGCCAAATGAAGTGAATAGAATAGTCTCCAAATCAGCTAGGTATCTATTTATGTTATTCTATTCAAACTTGATCCCAATTACAATATTAACCCCTTAAGTAATAAAAAGTATAACTGACTAGTCTACCATCACTTAAGTTAAAACTATAAAAAAAGGTAAATACTCACATACACAGACATATAAGGAAGCACGGGGAGTCGACCACTATTAACATGTTGCAAGTGCTGCAAGTGTATCACAGAGTTTGCATGTTGGGTAAGTACTGAAAGCTGAGGAAGCTTTCAAAACAATACAATACAATAATTTTTCAAAAAAAATAAAGAAAATAAAAGAAAAATGTCAGGAAAGCTTGCCTTGCCAATAATAAAAAGAATGTGTAAATGGCTTACAAAAGTATGCAGAAAGTGGACATAGATGCTACAATTGTGAAGTTGCAACTCAACATCTGAATGTAGAACCATCATCAACAGAGGAAAGGGTAGAAGAATGCCTTTATGGCATATCCCAGATCAGATGAAGAAGTAGATGTGAGATGATGATTAGCAATGGAAGCTGGGAAAATCTGTATTGTTGACATGGCAGAAAGGCCTCACTATATGAGCCACATCCAATTCCATAGAAGTTGCATGGTTTAAAAAGAGTGGAAGCTATATGTCATATTTTCCAATGACAACCTTACGTAATATGCTCAATGGATAGTGCATGTGGATATTGAATTTCTTATACATTCTAGTAGGATTGACAGAATATTTCATTGGTAGTGATTTAGTAGAAAAGAGCCTATAGGGATTAGTATCTTAGAAAATAGCATTGATCAGGAGTTATCGGAAACTGGAAAAAGGATACAGGAATTGAAGAATAAAAGGGTTTACATGTCACCATGGCGAATCAGATGCTTCACATTGCTCTAGCAATATATATATATATATATATTTGATCAGTAAAAAGAAGGTTTATTCATGTATAGAAATTACAGGGGTTATAGTTTATGAGTAGCATCGGCTACCCCATTACAGTGCATCCACTAATAAATTTATTTTTCAACTTTACAATTGGGTCCAGAAGCAGTAATCCCTGTTCACCCTTTGTTTGGCTCGCTGGTCTGCAAATCCATTTGCATCTCTATGAGTCCACTGAATTGAAAGCGATAAACCTTTAATCTTTTTTATGTCATTTCTGAATATCCAGGGTGTGTTGTCATGCTGTTTTAGCCAACTGATAATAACTTTGGAGTCCCCTTCCACAACCATTCTTTCCACCCCCATCTCCTTAGCTTTTTGTATCCCAAATACCATTGCCTTCAGTTCAGCTATAATGGAATTACCCATTCCAATGGGACCCGAGTACATCCCCAACACATTGCTCTATTTGTCAGTTTAGGTGTCTGAAGTCACAGAATCCTTACAGGCACATTATAATCTATAATTCCATATAACCAAAAGTTTCTGCATACATGTCTTTTCTTTTGACACTTTACTGAAAGGAGGACAAGAAGATTGTCATTGTCCAAGCCTTATCCCAACTATATGGGGTTGGCTAAAAGAGGACAAGAAAATAGAGAATGTTTTTTCACATTTTGCAGTTCCACCGAGGGAAATGCCAGGAGTCGTTAAAATTCATATGATTTTATATGGTCAATGATTTTAAATGGGCATTGCCATATTTTGCAAGTGTTTTCTATTTTGCACTGGTTTAGTGCAAAACTAGTCAGATATTTAGGATGTTTATGTCAATGGAAATATAGATCTTTAATAGGATATAGTTGATTTAAAAGATAGTAGTCAGGATCAAATTTTGGTAACTATATCACACAGCGTAGAGAGTAGAGACTTGAATCTCCTGAAGTAACACTCCAAAGCATGACAAGCTCGTCTTAACTCCTTGAGGTTTGCATTGTTTTGGGGGGTCTTATGCTGCATATATATGGGTTTTCCATATTTAACTGTTATTTTCTTTTTGAGAAAAAAAAAAAAAAATTGATTATAAGGTTTTAGCTGGACAGAAATGTACCTGGAGGTCACTACTCACTAATATATTGCCTCGGCTCTTCTAAATGGTGACAAGTGCAAAGTACTCATACTTAAAAATTATGTTAGGCATGAACAGGTAAAGAGATGACATTTGCCAGTGCAATCTTTGTGTGAGAGTCATGTTCTTGCATTTGTTTGCAGGGGTTATTTGGCTCCCGAGTATGCATTGTTAGGGCAGCTAACAAAGAAGGCTGATATTTACAGTTTCGGTGTTCTAATACTTGAAATAGTCAGTGGCAGAAGTAATTCAAAGGCAGCATTTGGAGAGGATCTGAAGGTCCTTGTAGAATGGGTAGCTCTCTAAATCTCATTCATCCTACCGAAGTAATATCATATATTAAAGCTTGACCCTTTCTTTTAACCAGTATTTATAAAACCAGACCGTACATCAACCTGAAGTCTTGGTGGGTCATAGGTTTAAAAGTCTGAACAGAGAATTCAGTAAGTTGTATATAGATGAATTGCAATTTAAAACACAACCCAAGATTCATCAGATAGTTGTATATAGATGGATTCCAGTTATATTGTGCTGATCAGATATGAATGAATGTCGCAGACATGGAAACTGAAAGAGGAAGGTCGGCTCTTGGACATTGTTGATCCAGAACTACTCGAGTATCCAGAGGATGAGGTGGCACGGTACATAAAGGTTGCATTGTTTTGCACCCAAGCACCACCACAACAGAGACCTTCCATGAAGAGGGTTCTGGAGATGCTTTCGGGAGAAGTGGACCTCAATTTGAAGACATTAATCCAGCCAGATGTGTACAAGAAAAATACAACCCGAGACTCAGCTAGTTGTTCACAGGGGAGCTCTTCTTCCCCATGGCGCAAAGACAAACAATCCATTACGTCAACCCGTTTATACAGCTCTCCTCTAAGCAAGACAGAGATGCAGCCCCGATGAGACAGAGCCGTCTTTGTGAGATTTTTTTTTTTCTTTTATTTTTATTTTTTGCCCCATGATTACATGATGACGCATTGATTCTTTTTGGCAGAATCATGCCGAATAAATTCTTGTTAGAGGCTTAGAAACACCGAGGTGCATAGAATGTCCCTAGGAAAAATGAGAAAAAAAAATCTTTCTTGTCTAATTTGATTAATTTCATATTTTCATTTGCAGCTTTCACAAAAAAAAAAAAAAAATCATATGCTCAGTGGTAGCTGTTCTGATTGGTTGTATTTGGCGGAAAAAAAATATTAAATCCTCTGCATTTAGTGAAAAAAAAAAAGAGAGATCTTAATAGTCTAATACACACGGTAATTGGGAGGGTTTTGAAGAACTGAAGACCCGTCTATTTTACACCATAGAACCTTGTTTCATTTGTTTATTTTTCTTTCTTCATTTATAATTGAATAATTTGGAAATCATAAGATCAAGGGGAACACAAAATGGGGGCTTCATTGCATGTGCCAACTGCCAATCAATGACCCACTACGCTAGTAGTTTGGACTTTGGTTGGTCAATCGGCATCCCTAACAAAAGAGTGGACCTTACGTGCGCGGTGCACCCTGCTTTTTACATTAGTTGCAACATATACGGTGAATAGTTGAACTGGCTGAACTTAATGGCTTATTGCATTGCCTTTTAATGTGATTAGTAGCGAGTTCCAAAACGGCATGTTGATTTGATCACTAAAATCAAAGAAATAAGTCATTCTCTTTTTTCGATAGATAAAGAAATAAGCCATTTAAACCGTTATCAAACCACTCTTGGTTGCAACAGTTGAGTGAAAAATCAGTTAGTAAAAAAAAAAAAAAGCTCATATGATATGCCCATAATTTTGCACGAATATCCTATAGGACATATACCATTACTACATACTACATGGTCCCATGCCCCTCACAACCTTACAGCTCAAATTCGTTAGTTTGGCCAGCTGAATCAACAAGTTGATCATATTGAAATTTTATAGTTCTCCACTTCTCCTAGATGGGACAATTACGAATTTCCCTCTCTTCAATTTTGACTTGACATGTCTGGTTAATTCTATTAGACCGCAAAATGTTCAATGACGAGATGGAACCTCCTATTCCTAGACAACTAGTCTTGGTAGAGCCCAATAAGTTAACAAATCACACTTCGCATCAGGTCACAGTTACGAGCAAATATGGGGCACAACGCAACATTCACACCACCCAAAACCAATACAACTAAAATAATAATAATGCATCTACTTCTCTACACCAGAAAAATAAAAAAATCCAGAAAACACTAGACGTCTAACCTTGCATGCTCAGGAAAATGGCCAGAAACCAAATACACAAACTCACTCAATGAGCATTATTTTATACGAACTCAGAGTATAAACTATGAAGGAAGGGCCCCCAAGATGCAGTCTCAAGCAACAGCCACAGCTTGAGGGGCAGTGGTCACAGCAGCAGCCTTAGGGGGAGGAGCAGTACCAGTATTGGAATTGCCAGTCTTGGCATCTTTGGCGGGTGCTGGCGCTGGAGGTGGGGAAGTCTTCATGTGAGGGGGTGTGTTATGCTTGAGCTTAACAAGTATCTGACGCATCCTTGCCAGATCAGTTGGCTTGCCGGGCTTTGGGCCTTGGATTACAATAATTGAAGGCTTCTTCTCCTGTTCCTTCCTCCCCTTCTTTTCTATAGCTGGAACTTCACGTGGAATGAGCCCTGCAATTGCCTTCCAGTAGTCCTTGTCTGCTTCGCCATGGAACTTCGCCCGATTGGCCAGAAATAGCTAGCACAGAACAATATATTAAGTACAACAGATGTATTGTTTGCTTATCAAAAATAAAAAAGTACAACTAATCTATTACTCCATGGCTTGGCTTGGGTGTCAGATGGATTAAACATTTTCAGTTTCAAAGAATAAAGGAAAGAATCCATACACATTTTGTCATTTCCACCTTTATCCTTAAACAAATATCACGCTCTCAAATGTCTACATGCATCTCGATTGGAATTGTATAAATGATCATAACTATCATGACAAAATGGTAGAAAGGAATACCAAAGGACGAGTAGAGGAAGAGGACAACACCATAGAACCCCTTCTTGACGGAATATTCTTGTTCCTTTGTCTCAACTTTCAACAGCCTTGTAGTGTCATCCTATATTCTGTTTGGTTGGAACAGTGAGTCAAGAGGTCCTGTAATTGCCTTTGTCTCAACTTTCAACTTTCAACTTTCAACAGCCTTTCTCCATCAGAAAGGTCCCCCCTCCCCCCCATTAGGCAGGCAAGCTGAACATCTCACTCTAGCGAGTGCCTCTCTGTAGGGCTGTAATTGCCCAACTTGAAGAATTTCAACTACATCAGGCTCGGGATAAAGGTTTAGGCCCATTCAAAGTTTGACAAATTGCCAACCCAGCCCAACCCAAAACCCAAGTTGCACCCCTACCTCTCTAAAAATTCCCAGAAGATTCACTGTTCTTAAATTTCCAGAATGTTCAAGGTTCTCCTAAAAGATGGACTCCAGAGGACGTCAATCTCTACCACTTCAAATCTGTGCTATACTACAGACTTTGTTATTGAAAATAGACTGGACATACAACCAAAGGGGCAACCTCTACACGGAATTTGTGATTCCAGAAGTGATATTTATCCTTTTTGCTGAAGCAAGCAAAACTAAATCCTTGATAAATTTTCTCAGATTCAGATTTTTTAAACTCTGTGTTGCAAAATCCAAGCATCCAAACATGGAGTTGATAAATGCTACTGACATGATTCCAATCCCAAGCAAGGTTCAAAGTATCATACACCCCGATACGGTGCAAGGGGTGTATCGGCACTTTGAACCTTGCACCCGCTTTTTTTTTTTCAAAAATAGGTTGGGGGTAGGTCTTAGGCCTGTCTACCCCATGAAATAGGTCAAACCCCCAAAGCATTCCTATTTAGCATATCTGTGACCACCGATACAATACATATCAGCTGATATGGCCCAATACGTAACAAAATTTTGAACCTTAATCCCAAGCCTAAAATTATGAAAATATCATTTCTGAAAAGGACCTCATGACTTATTCTATGAATCCAGGTAACAGAGTCGGTTTGTCTTCCTTCCCATCATCCTCCCTTCCCTACGATCAACCGATAACCCTCCCCCCACCCCATAGAAAGAGCAACTGGAACCACCTAGTTCAAGAGTATCATTTTTCCCTTGGTGGGGGGGAGTTACTTAAACATTGCCATATACTTACTAAAATGGGCTGAAACCTCCCCTTCTTTTCAGAAAATAGGTTTAAATATCCCCTATAAGAAAGTCTCTGTTAACACAAACAGAAATGTGTAATGGCAAGAAAACCCTTCTCAGGAAATGACAAAAAAAAAAGCTTCCATGCTATATAAATTCTAAAAGTATCCTTATGTACTAAACATTGATATTACTACATTGTAGCCAACTCACCATAAGAGATGTTACCAAATATTTTCAGACTCACCACACCAAATGGTAGGCCAACCAAAATAAAGAACCAACACTCTAACAATCAAAATGGTTTTTTTGTTTGGTCAGTTCTTAAAAATGTTGACTTGGTTAAAGTAAACTTACCGCATTTATGTGTTATACCCACTAAGATTTATTGGTGTAAGCTTATTCTTTTTGTTGTTTTTTTTTTTTTTCATTACATCAGAATTCGATTACACTTGATTGTATTCAATCGGCAGAATCCAAATATGGCGTATAAACAGAATTTACTTTGATTAGTTGGACGCACCAACTAGTTATGAAATTACATTAATAGCCTCTACTCGCGTAATCAATATATATTTATTTCTTAGAGGAGTCACCTAGAGATAATTGTTCCCCAACTAAAAACGGATCTCACAAACAAATTATACGTATCTACAACATCTAATCAGGTCACTACAGAGATAAGTTGGGGCAGTTCATCAAAAGGCTACTAAGCATGCATCAAGTAAACATAATCCATTCCCAAGTCTCACCTTCTCCTTTTCTCTGTTAGTAGGTTTTTTTGTTTCAACATTGATCTTTCTCCTCCTGTAGAATTCAATTTTGTATTCATCTGCTTCATCAATTATTTGGTTCAGGAATTCTTTCTCCCTTTTCTCCTTCTCCTCCAATCGAATAGCATTTTGCCTGTACATTATAAAAGGGATGTACAGCATGAGTTACTAAAATTATAAAAGAATTAGGCATCAATAGGAAGTAGAAACAGTTAGTGTTAACAGATATATTCTTTCTTCCATCGCAGAAGTACAACTATTTTACTAATTTAAAGAGTAACGGAGAACCAATAGTGAAATTGATAAACCTAATACATCAAGTCATCAACTATTGTTTTGTCATTTTCAAACTGATTGAGGTTAAAACTGGGGAAGATTGGGAACTACTAAAGCCATACAATTAAGCAAGACGCATACAGATCTACCACCAAATCTTCTATCTATATATAGCAGTCTCTGTCCATTCACCTTACTGCAAACTAAAGTTAAACACATACAACAGGATCAAAAGATCCACGTAATGATATATACCAAGTGAAATGGCTGCATCAATAGAACGGTGTCGTTTCCTTGGAAATTCAAGCCAAGTTACATGAGAGACCGAGAGAGTGATCTAAAACCACTACCTACATCTATCATTTGCAATATAACTATAACCGACTGCCAATAAGCTAATAAAGATTCAAACAACGATCTATCAAAAGGCAAATCTAGGGAAACTGGGAACTAGGAAGTAGAAGAAACTTAATGGAAATCTAGCCGCAATAACCAAATTGCGAATTAAATTAAGATAAATTCAGGGGCAAAACGTAAAGATCACAACCAAACCTTCTCCACTCTCTGAGAGCAAAACCCTCCTCCGGCTGCATCTCTGCAGGAGGTGGCAGGATCGGCCCGTCCGTCGGAGCAAAACCCTCATCAAAAGCCTTAACGTTAGACTCCGGCGAGAAAGCCGAAAATCCACCACCGGTACCGTAGATGGGAGATGGAGTTTCAGGAATCGGCTGTGAAGTAAATCCATCGTCGCCAGCGCCGTACGAAGTGGTGTTGAAGATGGGCGACGAATCACCGACCGATTCCTTGACGGACTCGTTGTCAGCAAAATTGGCAAAGGCGTCGAAACGCTGAGAAGGGAGACGCGGGTCATAGCCGATGTAACCATCGTCATCGAATGGGCGAGTGGAAGAGACCGGTCGTGAATCCTCGCCGTCATGACTGAACGAGTCGGAAAAGGTGGACATGTTTGTTTTCCGAGATTCTGACGCGAGTCGACCACCGTTCGTTCGTTACTCTGGGCGGTAGGCGCACCAATAAGGTGCCTTTTGTTTCACTTACGTCACACGCTTCATTCGCTTCGCTCCCGTAAACCGTCTCCAAAGTTCAAAACTTCAAATTTGTCATTTTTTATTGCGAATGTGAAACACGGCCGAGTTCAGCTTCGGTCAGGGCAAAGTCCGTTCGAACAACTTTGTATCGAGAATCTCTGGAGGAGATTGGCTTCAGTCAGCAAGGCCCGCGAACAGCCTTTATAACCTTTTATGGGAATATTTTCGTACTTTTATGGGAAAATATTCCCAATGCAAGATAGAATGTACTTTGCTCCGATCTTCATAAAAGGTGGTTGGAAACGGTATAGGCACAGGCTTGCCCTGACGGAAGCCGATTTCAACACGGACACTTCAGCGATGGATGGAAAAAACAATTCATAAATTCATTTCCATCGCTAACGTGCTCGTGTTTCACTGGGGATCACGAGGAAATGCAACAGATGTGAAATTCATTAGACTGCGCCTCGTTTACTTGGGTTGATTACTATATGCCAGTAACAAAATCGTTCAGTTGAGGCATGAGAATTTACCGATGTTCAGACAATCGAATCAGGCATAAAACTGGAAAAAGGAGAGATTTACAAGTTAGAAATTCGATTGGAGTCGAATCATGATAATATATTTTATAATTTTTAATGTATTTAAATATGATGGATGAATGATAAATTTCTTAATCTTTAAAACAAATGATTAGGGTTCAAGTCTTTTAATTTAAATTTTTTAAATATACATATATAATATATACAATAAATAATCATTAATTAAAGAGATGAATTAATGATAATTTATGAAAACAAGAGGTATTGAATTTAAATTTTATTAAACAATATTTCAAAATTTCACTTATGTATGGATCTGAACAATTTTATAAAATCAGGATCAATTCACCGATCTTCATCAGTCAGCCGGTTTTCAACATGTTTTGAACAAGTTCAGTTATTGGGTTATTGGACTTTACCCCCTTCAGCTGCTTTTGTTTTTCGGGGGGTAGTATTTGTAACCATATGTTCGTGCATAGTATATCTGCATTTACAAGCGAGCATGTTAACCGGTAGCCCCAAACTTTTGAGATGAGCATGTTAACCGGTATACTTCTGCAAATGTATTATGTCCGCAACATGGCCACTGGGTTTTGAGATGAGCCTTCTGCAGTTATTGTTGAATTTACAGGTACACTTCTGCCAATGTATTCAGCAGTCATTGTCCGGAACCTGGCCATTGGGCTAAAAGGAGTCTTGAGTTTACAGGTATTGTTGGTATCTAATAAAGTCTTACTGATGAAATGATCTTAGATTGCATTTGGCATTCCTTGTTTTAATTTTTAAGGACTGTCTCCTTTTGATGTTAAAATGCTTGTATGAATACTGAGTTTTTAACTACAAAAAGAAGATACGTATTTAAAATAAAGAATGCCAAATGCAGCCTTAATCTCTATGCCTGTCTCTAAGCATCAAAAGCTCTTCTTTTAGAAACCAGGGATCCTATTTAGGATTTTTTTTTATCAGTAGTTATTTAGGAATTTATGGAATTATAGTTTTGCTAAGAATAATTTATTGCGATTAATTAAAAAATATCAGAACAAACGACACAATCCATGTGGAAATTGAACAACTATTTTTCACAAGAATCCGGATTTGCTCCTCACAGAGTACCGACTTCACAGTGCTTTCAGCCATGCATTGAGATCATCTCCCATACTTGATGTCGTCATTCATGGGAAGATGTTCCCAACGAGGGATATGATGTACTGTGAGGCGTAAATCCAATTTCTTTCCACAATACTATGCTATAGTATAAGCTGGGATTACTTAGTGCACCCCAAGGCCCAACATTTATTACTCTTTTCATCCAATAAAGAACCAGTAGTCTCAAAAAACAAACCTGATTAATTCAATTTAGACCTACTGGATCGAAGAACTACAACTGTAAAATCCAACACAATTTTGAGAGGAAATTGTTGGATTTTACATGGTCTAAGAGTCTCTTTGACCAAGTGGTCTAGTGTTTGATCCTCATTGCTTCCCTTGTAATTAATTAAATTTCCGCCAAGGTATGGATGGGCCTGTGCTTTTCTCATGCTTCAAGCCCAATGAACCTTCGCACAAGGGGACATGTTAGGGAATAAAAACCTTTTCACGGATCCAAATTATCAGAATATTAGAATGAGAAGAAAAAAATAAACAGAAAAAGCAGAGGGATGACATTTATGAAACATTAGATATGACATTGCAGAAAAATCGCCTGTATAGCTAATGAATCTAGATATCCATCACATACACGGTACATTTCCAAGAGAAAATCAAGCAGTATTATCTTCTACAAACAAATAGTATTTCAAATATATCAACAGAGAAGCTCATACCTCATGATAAAACTTTGTGTAACAATATCCATGTATGCAAACATTGACAACGAAGACAGCCAAGCACTTAAAAGATGCTACTCGCTTTTGTATCTCAAAAGAATGGCATGCAACTAGATACCGCAAATATAACAAAGATATTATGTACATATACCAACAACTGGAATCTCTGGCTGTGCTGCTCTCTTCTGAATCCACAAGACCCGGATGGTAAATAGATGTGGGTGAAGTAAAATGCTGTAGTTCTTTCCCTGTTGCGCACTAAAGCTTATATTCTAGAAGAGAAACCCCAAATTCAATAGAAGCTTGCGCAGAGTTTCATGACCCCATTTGATGTCATTCTGCAATACTTCAACATTATCTGACTGAGAATTCTTGTGTGCTTGTTCATTGGTTAAATGGATTTCTTCTTCACGCTTATCTGCTTGAGAACTGGACTGCTCTTGCACCAAGGTTAAATTGAGTTCTTCTTCAGTGCCTTTTACCAGAAGATTGGACTGCCCATGTTCATTGGCTAAACAGGGTTCTTGTTGAAGAATAGTGGCATGCACTTCTCCCTTGGTCACATTGTCAAACACAAACTCTGTTGCTTCTTCCTGAAGTGGCTCTCTACCAGGTTCTTGCTTCTCATGTAACTGGTCTTCCTGTGGTTATGAAAAACAAGAAAAAGAAAGGATTCAATGTATGTATGCATGTGCTGCCAGTGAAATGCTGGCCATTAAGCTGGATTATCTATTAAAGCTTACAATTGGAATGCATATCAAGTTCTCAAAATAAATCTGTCATTTTTATTGGGAAACATGACTATTAAGTAATTGCAGTTACAAATAACAAGATATATTGACTTTCTTTTTTACCTCAACTTGTAATTTAGTTGCTGTAGGAAGGTAGAAATAATTATTTTGAAAGAGGTAACGTAAAATTATATTCAAGAAAAGAAAGAAAAGGAAGGTAGAAATATTAATAAATGTATCATCTATCAAGTGGAAAAGGAAGGTAGAAACATTAATGAATTTATCATCTATCAAGTGAAAGAAAAGAGATTATGGGCGTTATAATGCATGTCCATGACCATATATTGGAGAATTTTATCTGTGAAGTGGAAGGGAGAAGGATATGAAAATCATAATACTCCCATCTATCAATACACCAGTTGTTAACTGTGGAAGGGTTACAATGCTGCCTTTTCTTCACCTAAAAGGCTAAAACCCATCCCATATCTTGGAAAAACCAAAGAGACTACTGGTTATAAGCGCCCCCACCCCCCCAGTCAATCAATTCTAAACCAGTCATCTCAACAGAAATCAAATAGGAACAAAGCGCATCATACCAAACAGTTACCTCGGGTGCTATGTAATCTTTTGTTTCATCAGCTGCAACTGAGGTACTAGCATTATTGATTTCTTCAATCTCTTTTTTAAGCAAACCCTTAGTTGCCATCTGTGGTAATGGGGTCAAGCCAGGTACCAAAACATGACCTTCTTCATGAGCAATCAAATTCTCGATGTTATTCATGATTATAGGGGACTTGCCATTTATAGTTCTTCCATGACTTCTAAGTATGCTTTCTGATACAGTCCATTTGTTATTTGTATTAAGCTTTGCTTCCTCTTTTGACTGAATGATGCTTTCTGCTATGGCCACTTCCCTGTTCCCATGATCTGTGGGGCCCTCTTTAGGATAATTTATGTTCTCTGCAACAATTAGTCCTTTGTTTGCAATGCTCATGGGTCCTTCACTTGGATGACTAATGTTTTTTGCAACAACCATTTTCTGGTTGACATTAGCCATCACTTCCCGATTCAGATCAGTCATGTCCTCTGTATTAGGATTAACCAATGATCCTTCTTTTGGATCAGCCATTGCTTCCTCTGTTATTTTCTGAAGCTCAGAATCTTCCCAGTCTTCCAAAACAATGATCTTGTTAGTGGTATTCCAAGTTTGCAGAACCCGATCTGGGCCAGGTTGCCACACAACCACCCCTGTAATTGCTTTGAGTATGAATTTGTATTGGATAGCCTTCCCAATAGGTATGTCCTTTTCAACATAAAAGAACAAATATATCAGAATTCAGCAATCAAATAATATCGCATTCTAATCCCCACGATTTCCTTCTTACCAGATCAACTGTCCAAATATGCCCATCTGACCATTCCAATGGTATTGCATTTGAAGGGTCCCACAAACCAAAGATGGGATCATCCCCAACCAGGAGAAATCGCTCACCAAACAAGCATTCCTTCTGCAATTGAAATCTCACATGAACAGTCCTTGGGAGATCTGAGAAGTAAAAACTGTGATAGTTTGAGAGAAGCAGAGCAAGCAGGAATAATATTTAATATGAACCATCAAGGCAACACTACTTGATAGGAAAATAAATAAACAAAAGGAAAGAAACCCGCATGTTGCTTGGCCCTGGTATTCTGCAGTCTCCCAGTCTGCCTGCACAGAAGAGGTATTTGTACAAAATCATATTAAAATCAAATTCACTTGACTGTGATTAAGCTCTGACAACAATTGATGTCGAAACTCAAAAGAACAAATCACTATTTTAGTGGGACAAATCTGCACCGCCTAAAGCTGTATAAAGCATCCACAGTTGCGGATGACATCACAGTTCATAATTTTTTGCTATCATCTTAGCTCGAGTTAAAAACTTATTAGATATATTCTTAACACTCACATAGTCACATTTATAACTAAGATATCCATAAAAAGTAATGAGGCTTAAATAGGTAAAGGCATTATACAAATAAAAGCAAAACGCAGAAACGAATAAAGGGCCTGACAACAGAGTTAAGAAAAAGAAGAAAGAAAAAAAGAAACTTTTTCTCAAAGAACCAAAAAGATCGGCATCAAGGAAAGGATATGGAGTCAGAAACTCAGAAATGACACTTCAGAAAATAAATTAGACAACCATGAGATTAACCGATTCAAGGAGAGAAAGAACAAAAGAGAAGGATCTGAAGAACTACTAACTGTAGTCAGGAACAAAAAGAATGAAATCAGAACAACACCGAATAAATACGAGACCAAAAAACCGGAGAAGACAAGAAGCTCGAAGTTTAAGAGAATCAGACGAGTTCTAAAAGAAAGATTTCAAGAAAGGGCCAAATGTAAAGAACCAGAATAGGAAAAAGGGATGGAAACGAGAAGAAAAAAGTACCTGCGCTTCGGATGCAAACGAAGCTGTCGAAAGAGACTGAATCGGTATCGGCTTGTGTTGTTGAAGAGCAATTGAAAGCGGAAAAACGACATTACTAACTTCCTGAGGTCGCAAGAAGCGACCAAGTTCTGGTCTATCAAACCAAGTTCTGGAACAGAAAGAAGCTCTACCGAGACGCTTCTCCGAAAAGATCTTCCACGCCGAGCTCGTTAGGGCTTCCATGGGTCGGCTTCTGCTTCTTTAGTGAGACTGTGATGTGAGTTGTGAGAGCGAGCAAGCGAGTGGAGAGGAAGAAGCATCCGGAATTTCTTTCTGGTGGTTGTGGTGCGACTTAAAAAAGACGGACCCAGACAGGAAGTACGGATTTGGCCGATGTGTTGAAAAGCCAGCACGTGTCAACATTGGGATGGATCCGAGAACTCGATATTGTAGTTGGACCTGATAACATCCCCGTATTTGTATTCACTAGTAAATATAGTAATTGCATTTGCAAGATACAGTATCTCCAAGACAACTATTTACGATTATGGATAGTTAGTTTATCAATATTTACAAGTGAGAGTTTCTTAAATATTATAAATGGACAGTTTTCAATAATTATCGATAATTTTTTAATTATTATAAATGAGTAATTTTGGGAGTGAGAGTAAAGGATATAAATGTCTTTTCTTATGTTTGTTGTATGTTGTTTATATAAGAGATAAAATTGTTTAATGAAAAATTTAAAAAATGGAGTTATTCGCTTTTTTATTAATAATATAGATTATTCATAAAAGATGTTTTCAATACATGGTGGGATGTGGTTAAAAAGTCGAATCTATTTCAAGGTCTGTTTGATTATTTATTTCAAGTCTTTAGTTAATTGACTAACTCTACCTTTATTGATTGAAAATTGATTAACCTTATTTTTACTGTCTTTAATAATTGACTAAATACACCTTTACCATGTTTTACCGTTAGCAGGTCGTAAATGCCCCCCATTTGACTTAACTCTCCCCACATGAAGAAAAAAGCTGATAACATGCAGATCTATACTATCAGGAGGGACAGTCATTTGGTCAGTATTCTTCAACAAGTTAGGTGTGAGATCCCCCGCCGACGGGGAAACGCGGGTTGCGAAATGAAACGTGAACACATTTCTCTATCATGTTCTACAATTATAAAAACCCGGGTTTTCGAATTCTTTCAATATCTTGTCGTGCTCTGACTCCATTATCTTGTCCTGTCCTACATCACATTTAGAGACTGCAGGGTTTAGAGTACAACTGCATGGGTATCTCCTTCTCCGTGGTTTAAAACTACGGCAGCTTGTAATTCCCACTACCATGTATTCCAGAGAAACTCTAATGGGTTGTATCAATCAAAGTTTCGACCAGATTCATAAAATACAACACCAGCACGTCAGTAGCTTGCCGAGTTAAGTGAATTAGTGATTGCATCAGATTGTCAGTTTCGAATTTAATGTCAGTGGATTAGTGATTGCATCAGTTATCGAACTTAATGTCAGTGGATTAGTATCTGTTAGTTAGTTACCGAATTAAGTGTTAGCGGATTAGTGGATTGGTGAAGTTGTTAGTTATTTGCCGAGTCAAATGTTAGTGGGATTAAATTGTTTTACTTGCCCCAAGTTTTAGGAATTAGTTGATCCTCATGTATGCTTATATGAGGCAAACAAGTTTTAGTGAGATTCTTGGTGAGTGTCTCTATTTATCTTCCTTTGTTGTGTTTCACCGATTTCATCAATTTGGTATCAGAGCCAGGTTGGTCGTGGATATCATATTTGGTGAGCTTTTTCTCTTGACAAGATAAACGATCTTCAAGTCATTGGCGGAATAAAAAAGCTCAACAATCAGAACTACAATACTTGGTCTACATGTATGATGTCCTACATGCAAGGCCAAAATATGTGGGAGGTTGTCGACGGAAACGAAGTTACGCAACCGGAGGCAAAGGATGCAAATGGTACATTGCGGAAGTGGAAGATAAAAGCGGGCAAGGCAATGCTCACTTTAAAGACCACAATCGAAGAAGATGTGCTAGAACACATCCGGGATGCCAAAACTCCCAAAGAAGCTTGGGATACGCTCGCCGTGCTATTCTCAAAGAAAACGACACAAGGCTTCAACTTTTAGAGAGCGAACTTTTGTCGTTAGCACAACGCGACATGCCGATCACTCAGTATTTTCACAAGGTGAAGTCACTATGCCGCGAAATTACCGAATTGGATGTGAAAGCTCCAATCGGGGAAACCAGGATGAAAAGAATAATTATCCATGGTTGAAGGGATGAGAGATCCATCGTATGTACGTCCAAATCTTGCGGAATAAGGGGGGAAATTTCAAAAATTCTTCTCTCCCTTCAAATGAGAAATGCATTCCCTATTTAGAAAATCATATTTTCAAGGATCAATCTTGAACCATAAACTAAATCAAATCCGAACCAAAAGAAGTAGGAGAGGATTGTACCTGATACGGAGAAATAATATCTCCCAACGAAGGTGTTCACACCCAAGGAATAATCCAAAGACTGCTCCCACTGAAGATGGCGCAGTGTAGGATGGAGCAGAATCAACAATATTCTTCAAGAATTCTGTCCTTCGCAAGAAACAACAGGATGGCACGTGACCACATCTTTCTATCAATTCTTTCTCAAAGAACAGATGTCAAGATCAAATCTTGACTTCTCCCACAACTAGAGATCGAACTGGCAAACAGGGCGGCAAGAAAGAATTCTGCAGGGTTGCTTAATTCTTTCTTCTGTGATTTCAGCTCTGAAGAGGATCTGATTATGTGTCTTCTAAAGGTTGTCGCCCCCTCCTACTTTTGTTAACCTAAAAAGATCAGCTCCTAATCCAATTAGGAGCTGCTTATCCAAATCATATTTGGATCATCCCTCTCTTTAGGTGATAAGGATAAACCCTTATCTTATCTGCAGATTAGATTAACTTTCTCCTAATCTCATTAGGAGGTTTCTAGATCTGAAT